GCTGAAAAGAAATATGAATCTGTTTAAATGATGACAATAATAAGAATTAATGACAATAATAGCTGATGATCCTACCCTTACTACTTTATGCTGCTGAATCTTTATTTTCCTAAAATAAAAAATTTAAGAAAATTTTGGTGAAATTATTATTATTATTATTCCAGAGCCATTTTAAAGAATAAAGCATGGGCACAGGGAATTGTACAAAAAATGGCGAAACTAGAAAAATTGAAGTCAGAATCAGCTCAAACTTTCCAATATGCATCAGAAAATGTAATGAAAATTTGGGATGATCCCCGAGCCATTTTTTGAAAAAAACCATGAGCTATAGCCTTGGGTATTTTTTCAGAATTTTGGCAATTTCTTAAGATGGCTGTAACTTTAAAATTTTAAGTCGGACTCAGCTCAAACTTTCTAAGCAGCATAAAGACATCAATGTGCATCAGAAAGTGTAATAAAAATTTTGGTTCATTTTGGAGTATAAAAAGCATGGTCTGTAGTACAGGGTATTTTTAAAATTGCCATACCTCATAAAATAAGTTAGAAAATTCATTTTTCACTGCAAAAGCCAACGTCCACACTATGAATACCGTAGGTCGGGATATATTCGCGGCTGCAATTATTCGCGGTCATAAAAAATTTCAATTAAAAACCATGAAAACCGAGGTGTTATTTTAATTGAAAACGGCGATATAGTGAAGAAAAGCACCTTGCTGCAGTGTCCTTGAGCTGTTGTTCTTCTTGTTTTACTAAGCCTTGGTCTTATTGGAGCTGCTTTTATCAGTTCTTTTCAGAACTAGTGCCTCGCCCTATTTTGGGACTCTCCGCCCAATGGCGCCCATTCTAGTTAAGCTGGGTTCACAATATTTGCGTTGCGACCGGAAGTGCCGTATAACGCAATGATAAACGCAAGAATACAGTCGATTGCATGCATAGGTGCACGTGATCCACACGCAATACGCACTGTTCGAACGCAAGTGAAATCCACTGTACTGTTGATTGCAGTTCCGTTCGAAAATGCGTCACCCAGTGCGTATGCGTGAGGATCACGTGATCCTAATAAACACATCCACGGAAAGATACTCACGCAGCACGCTCCATTCGAACGGAACTGCAATCAACAGTAGAGCAGAGTTCTATTCTTGCGTTTACCCATTGCGTTATACAGCACTTCCGGTCGTAACGCAAATATTCTGAACCCACCTGTACCTTTAGTGTTTTATTGACTTGGGCGTGGTTTATATCACCAGCACGCGGTCCGGCAACAACTTGCAGCAAAGAAGATGAAAGAGCTCTGAAGCAGAGGCCCATACAATAAGTTAACAGATAGAGAAGGACTCGCTATTGGTGAATGGCTCCACTAAAGCTGCTAAAGAACAGAG